GACAGACGAAGCCTATCCAGATCCAAAATGCTGCTTTATCATATACAGTCAAACCTGTGTTAACTGCCACCTGGATACAGCGGCCACCTGCCTATAGCGGTCACAACCGAACAGTCCCTATGAAATTTACATGTAAAATACCCTGTATATAGCGGCCACCTGTCTAACGCGGCCAACAGCCAGGCTTCAGCTGCTGTCGCGATCAGTTGCACTGCATATAACGGACATAGTTCCCGGATGTCTTGCAGAGTACTGCCTTAAATCTCAGCCAACTAATAAGCTCCAAAGATCACAAAGGACAAAGTTACATGTAGCACGTTTTCACTCCTTTCATTCGACTGATGATTTCGGCAATTATATTTTATTCAGTTTACCACAACCAGCACACCGTACCGATGGTCTGGGAAGGCCAAACAAATAGACCATTTTCCGTTCACTGCGAGAATCACGCGTTATGCGTGAAATCGAACGTAAAAACAGGACAAACAAAGGTCATAGCGTCGTAGTCGCGTCAAACATCGCGTGGGATTCGACAATTGTGAAAGTATTTCGGAGACATTTCCATGCTTAATAATGTGCTGTCCACATTTGATGATAGGCAATTTCGATGGCAATATTCCTCTGTCGAAGATCGGCCGGTCAATGTAATCTGCGAAATAAAGAAATTCTAGTTCAAAATCAAATCGTTCGATTTTTGCGGCAGACGTTCGACGCGCGTCTTTCATGCATCTCGCGAGATCTCGCAATTGTACGGAAAATCACCTATTATTTAAGAATTTGAAAGTGTCCTGATAAAAACATGCTGTCATTAATGTTTCGTCGAAATATGTATACCACGGGAATAACTTGGACAGAAGTGCTTTGTACCAGGGGTTTTGTTCTATGAATCGAGCAACCACAACGATGACGACCCGCAAACGTTTTGTGAATCGCCCGGGCACAGTCCCTATGTGGCCGGGGTGAATCGGAATGCCAGTGGTAAATCCCCGATCAAATTGATTACCAACAAAAAAACATAACAACTCACTTGTTATTTATTCACTTTGAACTCCTATAAATATTGAGAAATACGCAAGTAACTGGAACTGATAGCAAAAGGAAAAAAAATCAACGCAACGGCCATGACTGTTGTTTTTCCATCCAAATAAATTATGCTAATTAGCCTTGCGCATGTGAGTTCTTGTTCTTCCGGGGTTATGATAACTCGGGTCAAAAAGTAGAGTCGTTTCCGTTACTGTGTATCGATCACTGTGAGGGAATGTGTGTGCAGTATTGTCTTGTTGTCCAACTAAATTCATTCAACAATTTTTTTTTCGGCCGCTACTGCCTCGATACATGCTTTTAACAATGTTGAATTGACCTCAGTTCGCCAGCCCAAAACGCCAGGCATATTTCACATGTTTCCATTGTTGCAGCAGTACAATAACATGGAAGTCGCCCAGATTTCAATTGCGCAAAGTAATGTTTTGAGGGATCAATCATTTCGCAAGTGAGGTAGGTCAGGACGATTTTTGAAGGAAAAAAAAATGTTAAGGGTATTGTGATTGGGAAGGAAACTTTCAAGTTGTCACGTAACTGGAAGGAGATCCATCACTACAATAGATAAGTGTTCTTATTCGTATATGTTGTAGGGATCAATAAAGCACTGCTAACTGTCCCTCTCCATTCTCCTTGAAAGAATTTACTATAGCCCAGAGACATTCCGATTTATTAGTGTACGGGACACAATCATTATTAAAAGAAACACACAAATTCAGAATAGCTAAACAAAGCAAGCTGAGTGATTTCTTTCGTAGGATATGATACTAAAACTGCTGCTGAACATGAACTTTCAATTTTCAATACTACTCATTATTGTGTAATGGTCGACTTTTGTGAAATGATTTTAATTTACATAATACAATTTAAAATTGAATGAAAAAAATCAACATTTTTTATTTGTAAATGTAATATAGTGTTTGGATACTGTGTACAGTAGTGTGATAGTGTGTGTCAAATGGGGTTGCCAGATCTGTTTTAATACATTGATTCAGTGCCTAATTAATATTCATGAATAAATTAGTGAACCTGTATAGAAAGGCCACCTGTCTATAAAGGCCAAAATCTCAAAGTCCCATAGGTGGCCTCTACATGTTTGACTGTACCTTGTATTGCCTGGCCTTGTAACGCTATGGAAAGTGTGCTCTCACATCAGGGCATTAAGCTTATTGCGTGGTCGAAAATGAAAGGCGATATGTGAATGTTTGAATAATAACAACAATCTACGTTGGGTCCGTGGCTAATGACGGCCAAGTAAATTTCTAATATTTTCAGGAATCTAACATTTTGGCTTTTGACGTAATTTCAATTTATGAATTTACAGTATGAAATCACAATTTAGATTTTAGCAGTGATTTTCGAAGTTATACCTGCGGTGGTGACATTTAGTTTTCAACAATATTTTGAAATGAACGATGAAAATCAGAATCCTATTTTCGAAAGGCTGATGTTGCCACCGCAAGCGTAACTTTGAAAACTACAGCTAAACATTAAATTGTGATTTCTTGCCGCCAATTCATTAGTTGAAATTACACCAAAAACCAAAATGTTAGATTCCAGAAAATAGTAGAAATTCACTTGGCCGTCATAAGCCAGGGTCCACGTTGCCGTGAGCAGACGTTGTGTTAACTGTTAATTAAAATTTGAGTTACTGAATGTGGACATTAAATAACAACAATAGTTATGTTTTCCGTAACTTAAAG